TACTCATTACAGCAGGGTCCGAGGAAAGGTGCCTGGTGCCTGGATCATAGCATTAGAGTGATACCATCATGTGTCACAGAAATGATCCTCCCAGAAGAGTGCAAGCTCTGAGATGCGAAGATGCACCTCCTCAGACATTATGTAGACGATTAATGTACATGCTTATTTTGGGCAATTCAAAAAACATATCTAAGGCATATTTCTTGCTTTTGTTGTTTTAGGAAGCATTTAAAGATGCTTGTTACACAGCTAGTTCACTTCTGGCATAACTTTCCAACTAAACTCTAAGCCTCTACTGACACCTGCTGGCATTTCATCTATTTTATATTAAAGAAAAAGCACAAACAAAACAGAGAAACACTTAACATTTTTCCTAGTCTTTCCACATTATTATAAGGAGCTCTGGTGGCACAGTGCCTACGGCGTTTGTGCTGCACGTGAAAGATAACAGAGGGAAAGAAAGGTGTGATGGGACCTTTACACATCATGGAGGGAGAGGTGTGGAACAGCAGTTGAGAGAAAATATCACAGACTGAAGGACAGACAGTAGAGTTCTTATTGCTTCTCATCCCTTGGCAAGGGTTCTGTGACTTTGGGCATGGCCCTTTACCTCACTTTCATCCTTGTGAAGAGAAAGAAGCCCTCAATTCTATGTCCCTTGGGGCTTGTGAGGATTCCAATGGCATTTCCTACTTACTAAAACATGGCTGCTCTCACTGAAGTGATTACCTCAAATGTCACTTTCAGTGACCTTTCTGTGACAATAAACAAGGTCCTTCACCAGCAGTGTATTTTTTCAAAAGATGGATGAAAGTCATTTAAACCTAATCAAAGCCCAACATCTCTGTAATTTATTTGTAGAAACAACTAAATTAGAATGATCCCAAGCCTGTGAACAATTTCCATATTTGTCTGCTTTTGCCCTAGGAAACCATGGACTTTGGTTTGTGTTTTGGAACACGTCACAGCCCTTCAGGTTGAGAAAATGCTCCCTAGCTTTTTCTGTCTGCTCTTGAGAAACTCTGTGTGGGCTTGTGGCTTGTTAGGTCAACAACAGGATATGTGATCGTCCCCAGGGAGTTAGAATCCATATTTAGCCTTGCAGAGGAAGTGAGGCCTGATGATGAAAAATAATTGAGGCATTTATTTTAATGCTACTCTAGCATTTCTTCCTTCCCCTCAGAATCCTAACTTAATGCCTGCCAAGGCTTCCGATGCTTTTTACAGTCCTCAGAAAATGTCATTTTTTACTTGTGAAAGGAAATTTATCTCTTATAGTCTAAGTCTCTACTCAGCTTCTAGGTATGATCAGGGCACAAAGAGGGAAGTGAAAACACTCTTGGAATTCAGTCATTATCTCTGGCCCTTGTGAGGACTAAATCTCTTGACCGTGTTAAACCTGGTAATATTATGCAGTACTGTTCATAGGATGTTCTGCAATGATGGAATCCAATTTGATAGCCACTAAGCTCTGGTAGCTTAGTGCCTAAGGCACTTGACTGCTAACCAGAAGGCTGGTGGTTCAAACCCACCAGCCACTCCTCGGAAGGAAGATGGGGCAAATCTACTTCTGTAGTGATACTGCCTCGGAAACCCAAGGAGGGGTCGCTATGAGTCAGGTCCAACTTGACGGCACATAACAACAACAACAACCACCACATGAGGTTCTTGAGCATGAAGTGTGCCAGAGCAATGAAAGCACTGAATTTTAAAAAATTATTATTTAAATTTTAATGGCCACATGGATTTAGTAGTCATGACTACTGTATTAAAAGTGCAGACAGAGTTTATATCTATATTACCACCTATCCCAAAATGTTTCCCTTCCTCAGAAAAGAGCCAGCAGAAACAGGCTATAACTTTAAGAAGGTAAAGTGCAGCTTATTTGTGTACCACAGTTCTGTTCAACCCACGGTATCAATTTGGTACAAAACATTTTGCCAAGGGTCTGATTATTTTAGCAACTTGGATGACATTCATTGGCATTCGTTTTTTGACTCCAGGGCAGAATTGGTCTTTACTTCATGAACCAACCTTTTCTAGCAAATGCCCTTTAGAGACCAAAATTCCTTTACAGCCAGGCATAATCTTTCTTCTCTTCTTCTTGTAAATCCATGGAGTGATGGTATGAACTACAACTGAGGTCCACATCCTTATACAGAAATTATGTGAGCACATTGCTATTTATTCAGGGTACCCTGGAAGTCAAGGAATATTTGACTTTTTAAGGCTTTGCTGGAAAACACAGGCAGGTGAGATATGTAACTATTTCTTCAATTGAAACAGAGTCACAATGAATGGACCCCTATGTATTCATACTCTAAAATGGGAATGGTGAAATATGTCATCACTTATTGTATAATGTTGCTTAGAAATAATGAAGATTGCCAGCAACTGAGAAAAGGCTTGGATTTAAACAGGCTGCAAATAGAAAGCTTAACAAATCAATCAGTAAAGAACATTCTTTTGTGGCAACCCAATGTATAATAACACTATAGATGCCACATTTATCTTCATGGAAAAAAATGAAAGCTATTTAGTGAAGAATAAAATATGAGCATGCAAAATGTAGATCACTATATGGCAAGATGGCATAAAAGAAGTGTTTATATTTTTATTGAAAAAAAAAATAGATACAGGCTTTCTAATCAAAGTGACTATATTTGGCTTCCACAAATTTGCTCACCAGGAATACTTTTCTCTTTCAGCAATGGGTGGAAGGCCTGCGATCAATCATACACAACTTCAGGGCCAACAATGTCAGTCCCATGACATGCCTCAAGAAACAGTGAGTTTTGTTTTTAGCATTGCCCTTTGTTTCTGGCTGTTCTCAAGCAACTGGTCAGATTAGGTGATGAATTCTAAGTGTGTGACGAGGCAAATTGCAGCTGACTTTCCCCTCCATGATCCAGACCTTGAAGAAGGAGTTGACCATCACACACAATACTTTTCATGACACCTGGGTAGGGCCTGCATAATGGACTAACCCACAGCCCCAGACCTATGTGAAAGGACCAGTTGATGGCAAATGATACTAGAAACTTACCCAAGTCCTCTGGGACTTTTGTGTCCCAGACTGGGTCTTCTCATAAATACCTCTACATGCATTGGGCCATAGTAGGTGCTCCTGGAGTGAAACTGAAGAAGGAAATGGGAGTGGACCCAAGAGAAGCACTTGCAAATTGTCATTGCTAGGATGAAAAAAGAAGCACTGACCCCAGGTATGATGCTCTCTGCTTTGGCCACAATCAGGGAACCAAAGATAATTTTGAAATTCAAAGAGCAGGCCTTATCCTTTCTCATAGTATCCACAACCCAGAAGTGTCCTACCATGGTAGACTTTAACCCTATCCATGTTAGTTGTATCTTCAAGGTAACACGAAAGTTATCCAAGTAGATCCTAGCCAAAGCTGAACATAGGTCAATATGTTTGAAAAGCAGTGATCAGTGGAGATGTGGGGCCATCTGCCAACACAGAGCTATTGCAGGTAGTTATGAGGTACCACAGCTCACTGCATTGGGAAATTGCAAGGATAAGCCTGAATCACTCAAAACCAGGCCCAGCACCAAAGGTGAGATTCATTGTACTCACCAGACAGTGGGATCTTCAGGCTCCTTTTCTTTACTTTCAGTCACTTTGGCAGGTGCTTAAACCATGGGCTCTGGCTATAAATCCCAGCTTCACCACTTAGTTTCTGGGTGACTCTCAGCAATGTTCTTAGCCTTGTGCCTCACTGTCCTTATCTGGGAATTGAGATGATGACAGTTATGCATCTCACAAAAGTATCATGCAGATCACATGAGATCATGTGAAATACTTAGCTCAGCCTGGCCCCCAGTAATTCTTTATTCAGTATTAGCTATTTTGATTTTTGTGGTATCCTTCCAATTTCCTTTCCATCCTCTTAATAGAGGAAAGTTAATAGTGCTATATATTCCTGTGTGTTGTGCAGCCTGTCCCTTTTTGCTATAGTTACTCTGTCATATTTTCTTAAAAATAAATTGTTGTTGTTATTATGTGCCATTGAGTCGGACCCAACTCATAGTGACCCCTCCCTGGGTTGCCAAGGTAGTATCACTACAGAAGTAGATTGCCCATTATTATATAAAAATAAATAGATTAGATAGATTAGACAGATAGAAACCCAGTAGATGCTTTGATGTTATGACTCTGAGCACTGAGTCCCAAGGATCGAAGACTTTCAGAATGCCCAGTCATACTTGGGGGACCCAAATAATGATATGTGGGTGTAGTTCTTATCTGCACCCTTTGGTGTTCTGTTCCCAGTTGCTGTCAAGTCAACTCCAACTCACGATGACCTCATGTGTGTCAAAGTGGAACTGTGCTCCATGGAGTTTTTAATGGCTGATTTTTCAGAAGTAGATTGTCAGAACTTTCTTCTGAAGCTCCCTTGAGTGGCCTCAAACTTCCAACCTTTCTATTAGCAGCCAAGTGTGCTCACCATTTGCACTGCCACGGATTCCATATGGAATTGATTTTTGCCCCACTGCCCTGCTGTCCAAGGGCTAAGAGCCACTATTTCTCTAGAGAGTTACCTTCTACTAGAGAAGCCACTGTGCATAGCAGGTTATACTTCTCCCTACTAGAGGAAAGCCCACAGCGAATAACTGGCTAAAGTAGGGTGAAAGGGGCCCCTTGCCTCAAAGCAAGATAAACTCTGGTAAAAATCACACTCCAGAGACCCTGGAATCAGGCTAATGCTACAGCTGAGACTACAACTTTACTTAACTGGTTTCCCTGCCCTATCTGCTTCTCTCACTCTCCTTGTCCTTAAAACATTCCCTTAGTAATTAGTCTCTTGTGTTTCTAGGAAACCGTACTTAAGACAGAAACTTTATAGAATCATCATTTTCTGCAGAATGGTATAATATTTCCTGGAGACAGTGGGAAAGGGAGTCATTAGCTAAGGACAGTCCTAGCCCCAAACTACAAGTCAATGTTCTGGGACCTCACGTGTCTTGAAAGCAAGGAGTTGCTCACCCTCAGCTGGAGTAATGAATGTCTCTTACTATTGAAATTAAGGAAGGGGCCTGTTCAGTTAGTGCTTTGCAGCAAGGGGAACCGGGAGTCCTTATGGTTCCTCAAGATAAGGCTACCTGGCATCACTGTGCATTTGTGCTTCTTACTCCCTTAAAATATTATTATATAGTAATAACCAAGGACAAGACCAATCACCAAATAAATACTGATGATGTGTTTTCTTCAATTTTCTAATTAATTTAGAGTTTCCAGATAAAACACAAGACTCCCAGTTCACAGTGAATTTCAGATAAGCAACAAATAATTTTTGAGTATGTCTTTTGGAGTCCCTGAGTGGTCCAGTCAATGCACTTGGCTGCTAACCAAAATGTTAGATGTTCAGGTCTACCTAGAGACCCCACAGAAGAAAGGTATGCTGAATGTCAATATACTTCTGAAAAATCAATCATAGAAAACCTTCTGGAGTGCAATGCTACTTTCACACACATGGAATTGCCATAAGTCATAATCAACTCAACAGCAACTGGTTTGGTGTTTTGGGGGTCCTTTGGCTTACTCAGTATTTGAGTGGTGCAAACAGCTAATGCAGGCAGCTGCTAATTGAAAGGTGGGAGGTTCAAGTCCATGCAGAAAAACCTCAGGAGAAAGGGTGAGCAATCTATTTTTGAAACATCAACCATTGAAAACCGTATGGGCACAGTTCTACTCTGACACACAGGGTCACCATGAATCAGAATCGACTCAACAACAACTTTGGTGACATGAAGATTTGGGACATACTTAAACTGAAAGATTATTTGTTGTTTAGAAGAAATTTACATTTAACTTGGAACCGTATATTTTATTTGCCAAATCTGGCAACTCTAAATTTATCTTGTAGTACATAGCTGTCTCTGATGCTCAGAATAAATATTCTTTGAATGAACTGTCTATTGTCTTCTATAGTTATTAGACAGATTGAAGCTATTCTTCCTAAGAAACATTAAAACAATGTTGTTGTTGTTTCAGTTGGATGAAATTGGCGTTTATGACCAACACAAATGGTAAAATTCCAGTCAGGAGGTAAGTCAATCATTCCCAGTGTTATTCATACCCTTTTGTCCCTCATGATGCTAGACAGAGAGCTGTCTACAAGTACTTGTTAGTTCATGCTTGAACTGAAGATGTTCCTGAAAGCTTAGTTTGAATTACTTTTGTCAAATGCTTTGTTCAATTTGTTGAAATTTTTTATGGAAAAAGTTGCTTTTTCCCCCTCAGAATATGTAGCATTAACTTTGTATTAAATTAATTAAAGAACATACAAAAACGTAGTATTTCTTTAATCCTCAAATATTTCTTTTTATATTTTTTGCATACTTATGCGAGCAACTGTGAGTTAAAAATAAAGAAGTTTGTGGTGTGCTAAGGGAGTACTTGGAAACTCTGGTGGCATAATGTCTAAGACACTTGACTGCTAACCAGAAAGCTGGTGGTTCAAACCCACCAGCCACTCCTCGGAAGGAAGGTTGAGCAATCTACTTCCGTAGTGACGCCACCTTGGAAACCAAAGGAGGGGTTGCTATGAGTTGCAATCTACTCAGAAGCAGTGAGTTGGTTTTTTTTTTTTGGTAAGGGAGTACTTGGGAGACATAAAGAGTTAAGCACCTAACTACTGACCAGAAGGCTGGTGGTTCATACCCACCTAGACACACTTAAGAAGAAAGGCCTTCAGTCTGTTTCTGAAAGGTCACAGCCTTACAATTGCTATGGAGAAGTTCTACTCTGCATACATGTTGCCATGAGTCAGAATCTACTTAAATATCAGTGAGTTTATGGTACCCTGAAGTGGCCAGTGTATGGACTAGCGCTCAGAAGTTGATGCCTCTTGTCAATGCATTCTATTCTAGGCTCTGGTGCTCAGGGATGGAAGGGCTCTTTCTTTGGGTTCTTGATACTTGCCCTCTAGGTATCTGTAGCTTATACCACACACTCTTCCAAACCGACACTTCCTTCCTCACCCTGCCTAAGGTAAAAGTGATAAAGGAAAAAGGTAGTAGAGGTTAGATGGAATCGAGAATGAAGAGACTGTAAACGGTGTGTGCTCTTTAATACTTACCTTGAACTATTGAAGTCTGCACATTAGTGAGCACAGACAGTAGTGTGACATACAAAAATGGAAGCTGGGTCTGTTTTTACATAATTTACTGTCCTGCTTTTTCTGCACAGAAAAGATTCAGGAAATGAACAGAGCAGAAACGCATAGATTATGATCAAAGCCCTTCTAGCCAGCAATCTGGGGTCATTTGCTATGCATCCTACCAATCAAGCCATTGTTATACAAGCTTCGAAGCTTTGTCTGACTGATTCCAGTGATCTTTATCTAGCATGTTCACATCCAAAATTATCACCCCTTCTTTGGAGAAATAACTAAGATATTTTGGCATCTTCTGTAGTTCTCTTTGACATGAAACTCTTTGTCGCCTGCCAGTATTAACAGGTGTTTGACACAAGGCATCTGTTACTTTGGGTAATTTGTTGGAGTTGATGGAGAACTGATAGCAAGCCAAAAAAAAAAAAAAAAAAAAGGTCACTGCAAACTAAATGCAGCTGCTGAATTGCCTTGTGCTGCTCCTTGGTGTCATGAAGACAAATAAAAAAAAAAAAAAAAAAAAATCTCCTGGTGGATGAGCTGCTAAGGGCTGGGTGGAAGTGGTTCTGAATATTTTAATGGATATGAAGAGTAAACACTTTTAAAATGTTATTTCATCACTCTCATTCTGTGGTTTTAAAAATGGAAACTATTAGTATAGTGTGTATGATGTTATAAGGGATCTGGCTGTGTAGTAATTACCTAGTTTAGGAATGGCCCTGCCGTTGATATTAATCAAAATTCAATATCCAGGAAGTTAAAGAAATGACAGGTGAAGAAAATCTGACTCCTTATCTCCCTCTTTTCTTTCTGTGTGTATTGTCATATGCAGTCTACCTTTCTCTGAAATTTACAAACTCACACTTAACATATCCTCCCACTCGGATTCAAGTTTTACAACTTGTTGCTTTTGCCATCTCTCATTCCTTGTAACCTGGATAAAATATTGAATAAATCACAGTCCTTTATAACTAACATTCTGCATTCCCTGAAACTCAACCATGATGTCTAAAATACCCCAAACCTGCAACAAATTATTTTCTCTCAGGCACTTTGTTAAGTCACACCCTATTGGCCTTTGATAGAACAAATACCACTGGAAACACAAAAGAATTCATCTTCATTCCACACTCCCATCACCTCCAAGTAAATACTTCTTAATGCCCACCAGGGGTTCTAAAAACTGCCTAGAACAAAGGAAATAAAGACTCCCACCCCAGAGGAATGGTCTATTTGATTTTTTTTCTCTGCTCAGTCAAATCCCATCATGAAAAAGTGGGGCTGAAGAATAATAATACCACCTCCGGGCATAATACCAGTCAGTGCTCTCCTCCATTATCTTCTTTGCAATCATATCATTAAGCTCTGACTTTGGTCTCTGACTTTGGCCTCACTGATATATATTCCTTCATGGATCTCCTTCTGTCTGTCCTTGCACTGGATCAGGCCCTATGCACCGCACCCCCCCCCACACACACACACATGCACACACTCTCTCTCTCCCTCCCTCAAATTTTCAGGTGCTTGGGCCTTCCTCCTTCCTTAAGAGATTCTTGTTCTTGTTCTACTTGTTCCTTGGTGGTTGACCAAGCCCTAGCCAAAAGTTTCTATTCCTGTAAACTTTTGCTTTCCCCTTTTCCCTACCCATGTGATGTCACACATGAGCTCAGGCCACACACCTGCTATATTCATGACCATCTTGGTCAGTTTTCATCTTATTATACCAGGGCTACAAACCTAACAAACAGAAGTTGGAGTTACATGGAATACCCCTGAGATTGCTATGGAAATATTTTCCTCCAACTTACAGGTGCTCCACAACCCAAATCCTACTGGAGGTCCATAGCTCTCACAGTAACATAAACTTTTTGGAAAAAGACATAGAATATTTAGGTTCAATTAAGTTAACAGGTCAGATAAATTGGATCTCATCACAATTCAATAAATAAAACTTCTCTAAGTTCTAAAGAAGTGGGAAAATATGGATGTAGCACACTCTGCTGGAAAAGTCACTTGTTAACCAGTTTACTTGATGTCACACAAATATATACTCTGCTGTCTGTGAATAAGGAGCCCTGGTGGCATAGTGCCTAAGGCATACAACTGCTAATCAGAAGGATGGTGGTTCAAACCCACCAGCCACTCCTCAGAAGGAAGGTTGGGCAATCTACTTCCATAGTGATACTACCTGAGAAACCCAAAAAGGGGTCACTATGAGTCAGTTCCAACTTGAAGCAGTGAGTGAGTCTGTGAATTTACAGAGGAAAATTCATAGATTTCTCTATATTTGAATACAGCTGTCTCAAACACTCTTATATGTACTTCCTGAAGTATCCTTGGGCCTAGAATGAAGTAGTAAACTCTGAATGAACACATTGTAACTCATTTACATAAAGCTAGTTCTTCCCAATTTATTTTGTGAAGTTGTAATCTGTAGTTGAAGTAGTACTTTCTCCCTCTTATCAAGATTAACAAGCTATTAGTACTTAGATTAGGAGGTTGCCTTCCATTTAACATGAATGGTGGAAAGTGTGAGATGGTTGGCCAAGGGGAGATGTTGCTAAAAATCTTTGGTGTTCACAGAGGAAGTATTCCAAAATCAACCTTCATAGATGAATATAAGGTTTTCTTCAAGACAAGGCTGGAGTTTTGAATTTAGTGTTTAAATTATTATGTTGACATAGTACCTAGGCTTCCAATCAGAGAGTGAATAAAGGTTTGTTCCAGTGACATAGGCACAGCTCAGAGCCCAGTGTGGTGTTTCTGGCTGCCACGTTCTATCCTCAGTAGTTTTCTCAGTAGGATCAAAATTATGCCATCAATGCATTTGTAATATGGAATGTCTCTCCTACTTTGATCATCACCAGGATATGTGTTAATTAAGATGTGATACATTTACCAGCTTGATGCTTGGTAACTAGTTCAAAGACAGTACCATTATTCAAAATGCCATGTCTCAGGATGACATGCTGAGATTTGAAACCATTTACAACTGTTCCTCTGCCCCCCACTACCTGTCACTTTCATAATAAAGCCCCTAATTCTTGAGGCAGCTAGAATTTCAGAGTGGCTCAAGGGTGCTTAGCTTGGGGGAGTGGGAAGCACAAAGTAGATCTGGTAGTGTGCAACAACTGGAATATGTGTCAAATTGAGAGTAAGGGCGGGCACAGGCACGGGCTGAGTTATAAAGGCCCTCCATGTTACTCCACGCCCTGCTGTTGTCAACAGTGAAGCTTTTGTCTCAAGCTGCCATCCCACCTGCCAAATTACTTTTTCCTAAGAAAATACTTATACCACTTCCCATTGAGTCAGTTTCTGTTCATGGTGACCCCTTGTGTGTGAGAGTAGAACTCTGTTCCATCAGGTTTTCAATGGCTGATTTTTCAGAAGTAGACAAGGCACCAAGGAGCCCTGCTGGTGCAGTGCCTGAGGCATTTGACTGCTAACCGGAAGGTTGGCAGCTCAATCCCACCAGTGGCTCTGCAGCAGGAAGATGGGGCAATCCACTTCTGTAAAGATTTACTGCCTTGGAAACCCAGTGGGGGTCTGTCTCTATGAGTTAGAATCTACTCGATGGCAGTGGGTTTGGTTTTGGGTTTAAACAAGGTACCACCTCCAACTTTTCACTTAGGAGCCAATCAGTGCATTAACTGTTTACACCACCCAAGGACTCATAGAAAGTAACTTGGTAGGATCAAAATGTATCATGGTTTTTGTCCAACAGTGTGTATCCTCAGGTACCCCTTGTTTTCACAAGCACTCAGGGGAACTGCCTGTCTGAGAATCAAGTTGCCTCATTAGTATAACCAGTACCAGTAATAAGAAGGGACCTTGTAAGAGCTAGTTTGGAAAGTGAAAAACACCAAAAATCAAAAGTAATTTTATTCTCCCTTTCCTTCTCTCCCCACCCCTCATCCCTACTATGACTTGATTCTAAGGAAAAAAATGGACAATAATTCGAATCTTTTTTTTATTCCTTTTCTGCCCTAGTATTACTAGAACCTTTGCTTCAGGAAAAACAGAAAAGGTGATCTTTCAAGCTCTCAAGGAATTAGGTCTTCCCAGTGGAAAGGTATTCATTAATTTAATAATGTATTTCTAAGACTGTTCTGTTCATTTATGTCCTTATATGTAATAAGCCAGATTATTTACTTCAACTCATCTTAATTAGATTCAGAGTTAGATTCAGTCCTATATAGCAGAGTCGATTTTCCCCTCCCTTCCTCCCTCCCTCCTCCCTTCTTTCCCTCTGTCCTTCCCTTCTTCCCTCCCTCTGTCCTTCCTTTTGTATTCTGAACAATTGAATCTAAATAGTTTAAAATTCAAATGTGTACATTCACTTTATTTATTTATTTGGTCAACTGTGTTAAGAAAAGGAAATGCAAACTAGGCTGCTCTGTTATACAGCTTCAAAACCAAAAACAAAACTCACTGCCATCAAGTTGATTCTCACTCAGAGCAACCCCCATTGGGTTTCTGAGACAGTAAATCTTTACGGAAGTAGATTGCCTTGTCTTCCTTCCAAGGAGTGGCTGGTGGATTTGAACCACCAACCTTCTGGTTAGCAGGCAAATGCCTTAGGCACTGCACCACCAGAACTCCTTTTATATAGCTTAACCAAGCAGAAAGTCAAAATCAGTTCTTCAAGAAAGCTATGAGAAGTTTAAGAAGCATTTCTTCCAAAACAAACTATTTGTGTTCACAACCCTTAGAATTTAAGTAACCAAAATTAACATACTGACTGCAAGAAAAGTTTAAACCTGTTACTGCTTTAACAAGTCCAATTTGAAATATAAATTCCTGTATGAAAAACAAAATTTGATATGGTTATCCTAAGCCCCTTCATGTGGTCTTCTGAAAATTGACAAGGTAAGTATAAGTAGAGATTGAGTTTAATTTATTCATCATCCTTTACTTAGGCTCTTTCCTTTTTCTCCTTCAGGAAGAGGAGGAGGAAATGTTTCTCTGTATTTGTTCTTTGGGGTATTTTCCAGAGTAAGCCCAGCTGTCACCAGAGGTTTAAAAGCACAAACTGTGGTTGCATGGTAACTAGAAACCCTCATTGACATTGACACATGCTGTGTTCTAGTAGAATGGTGTGGCTGTGGCTGTGGCTGAAGGTCCTGGGTTGACCTCCACTTTCTGTCAGCTATAATCTGAGATGGAGGTATTGGTATTCCAAGGGGCCCATACTTAGATTCTCACCCTTCAAGGAGAAAATTGTTCTGTGATTAATGACACTCTGTTATTGTTTACAGAATGATGAAATTGAGCCTGCAGCATTTACTTATGAAAAGTTTTATGAGCTTACACAAAAGATTTGTCCTCGGACAGATATAGAGGATCTTTTTAGAAAAATGTAAGTTACATTTATGAACGAGTGTCATATAAATGTTACCATTACCCTTTTAGATTTTTAAAACTTTTTTTGTCATAAGATTTTAATATAGTACGTTAATAGAAGCTAGCAATAGGAGAGTCAGGCTTACGTTTTCACCCCTTAGTTTATCAGTGTAAAAGTTCACTCTGAGTTTTAAGAAACTTTTACATAAATTAATGGCAGCACCTGGAACTCTCCCCACCCTCTGCATTGGCTTTACTAACGACCTACAATTTTAACCTGCTCCTTTAGGTATTAACCCATTATGTGAACTAACTAGATTCAGTTTGGAATGCCATTATGTTGTTGAAAAGTTCATTCATTCCAATTATTTCAAATGGATGACTTACATGTTGTTTTTGAAATAACATCTTTGGATAATGCTAAAGTAGAATTGCAGACAGTTTCTGAGAGTTGGTGGGAATGTTTTCTTTCCTTTGTTCTTGTTTTTGTTTTGTTTTGTTTTCTTGTTTTATTATTATTATTTTATTTCTGACAACCAGTCCTGACCATTTTAAGAATGCACCACTGCCTGAGGGTTAGGAAATAAGTTTTAGAAGTTATCATCAACAAATGTCAACATGTAAATCGTACCTGCTATAGCGTCATATACAAAAACTTACTTTTTCTAATAAATTCCTTTTCAGCAATGGAGACAAAACTGATTATTTAACGGTAGACCAATTAGTGAGCTTTCTAAATGAAGTAAGCTTTTTCATACATTAACTCCATCAAGTCTGTGTGCAGTGGCTTGCCTCCTCCAGTGTTCTCATTGCATGCCCAAGTCATTGCCATCATTTGCTTTGCTTCTCACCTGCCGGTCTTTCCAGCGTGGCTTTACCAGGTGCAAGAATCAGCTGCTGTTCATGTATGTTCATGTGCTTACTACACGTTGGCTTTGCACACTGCTTTTTGTTGGTTTCTGGCTGTGATGTGTAGCTCCAGTTCTGTGTGTGTGTGTGAATTTTATAATACATTCATTTAATTAAATGTGTCTATGTTTTTGCAAGATGATATTTAAGGTACTTATTTTGTTTTCTACTGATTTCACTAAATAGTCAGAGAATGGATTGAATTGATGGCACTGTAGTTGAATTCTCCATTGCTAACTTTTCCTCATACCTTTGCATGGACTGGAAAGCTTTATTTATTTATTTATTTTTAAATGAATTGCATGTAAGAAAAGTATGTAGGTTTAAATGGAATACTTTGACAACCAGCAAAACACTTTGAATTCCTGGGTGAAAATAAATTATATGTAAAGCCAATTGGATTGCAAGTTAAATTTTTACTTTTTATTTTTGTAACAAGCTCAGAGCTAATTTTAGAATGTGATTCACTTAACAACCAAAACTGGTTGACAAAATCAGCTTAGACTCAAGAGAAAAATACTTTAGAACTAGGTTGCAACTTTTGTTACACTAACTTTTTTTCTTTACATTAAAAAAACATATTTTCTCTTCATCACAAAACCCATTGAAGTTCTTGTTAACACAGAAAAGTCATTTTGAATAAATTAATAATTAAAAGCATTGAAGTAAAAATGGACAATATATTTTTGTTTAATAATAATTTATGTAACCATCATATCACATAAAGAGAAAATATTAGAAAAGACAGCATCATACAACACACAAGGTCTACCTCAAGGAAAGACAACAGGTGAACAGTGATTTGCCATTTTATAGAGACATATCACTTTTTTGCCAAAGGTCCTCTCTTCTCTTTCCCTGTGTGGGCTCCCAGGCTCCCAGTGTATATTATTGCACTTTAACAGCTATGTTAACCAGAGCCTAAACCCACTGAATGTAAAAAAGGAAGGTATTCCTATATCTGCACAGATGCCTCCACTTTTAAATAATCCTTTCAGTATAATATGTTTATTTTACTTGAAAGCATTTCAAGTTTTTCCGCTCTACTAGGTTCTAGTCATGCGAATACTATGTTCATAGTCTTTACCCAGATATTATCCACATTCTTATGTCACAGTTATCCAGAAGTTAAATTGTCTTGCTTTGTTTCTTTAACACCTTCCCCCTCCTCTGCTGGTTTCTCCCCCCCCGACCCACCCCACAATGATTTTATTTCCATCAGCTTCTTCACATACTTTGGCTCATTGATCATCTTAATTTTGGTGAGAAGGGCAAGAATCCTGCTTCCTCCTAAAACAGAAAACAGGTAGTGGAGAGGAAAAAATTTACCACATCATCAGTTTGCCAATTCCTAAAAAATGGCCCTTGTGTGTAGTGGGTTGAAGCAGCCTTCTGTTGAACTAACCCACCCACCTACAAGTGCCATTGAGTCAATTCCAACTTGGAGCGACCCCATGGGACAGAGTAGAACTGCCCCATAGGGTTTCCAAGACTGTAAATCTTTAAAGAAGCAAACTGCCTCCATCTTTCTCCCATGGAGTAGCTGGTGAGTTCAAACCACCAACTTTTTGGTTAACAGCTGAATGCCTTAACCAGTGCACCACTAGAGCACCTTTGTTGAACATTTCAGAGACCTTAATACCACATTTCACTGCTCAAATAAAGAACCAGTTCTGAAGTCATGAGGATAGGTGCTATCTTCATGGCCTCTTATGTCTTTCTCTTTGCAGGTTGTTTTTGTTGGCCTATCTAATAATCACTCTTATAATTCTTGTTAGGAGCTCTGGTGGCATAGTGCCTAAGGCATTTGGCTGCTAACCAGAAGGCTGGCGGTTCGGTTCAAACCCACCAGCTACTCCTCAGAAGGAAGATTGAGCAATCTACTTCCACAGAGACACTGCCTTGGAAACCCAAGGAGGGGTCGCTATAAGTGAGGTCCGACTCGACGGCAGTGAGTTTTGGTTTATAGCATAGTGCCTAAGGCATGTGACTGCTAATCAGAAGGCTGGTGGTTCAAACCCAGCAGCCACTCCTCAGAAGGAAGATTGGACAATCTCCCTCCCTAGAGATACCACCTCAGAAACCCAAGGAGGGGTCACTATGAGTCAAATTGACTCAATGACAGTGAGTTTGGTTTTTGGTTTGATTACAGTGGTTGGTATCCTAGGGTGATGCAAACAATTAACTTGCTCTGCAGCTAACAAAAAGGTTGGAGGTTCAAGTTGACCTAGTGGCACCTTGGAAGAAATGCCTGGCACCTACTTCTGAAAAATCAGCCATTGAAAACCCTGTGGAGTGCATTTCTACTCTGACACACCAACATGGGGTGACCATGAATCAGGTCAACTTGAAGGCAATGATATTACAGTAGCAAAGAGTATTCACTTTTTTTTTAAATCTTTCCTTCTATTTGGCTTTTCATAAATAGTAAGGAACCACCTTGGATTTTTTGATGGGACTGTTGGAGTCAGTGTGATTCTAGATTTCTTTAAGTCATAGAGACTACAAGATAGTGTAACAAAATATATAGTCTTTATTTTTAATCAAAGTCTTTGCCCTGAGTCTATTCCTTTTTCATCTGAACTCATCCGAACTCAACTGGAAGGACTAGACAATAATTCAAATTTCTCTTTGAAGAAGCTCTAACAAACAAAAGAAGATGCTGCCAGCTCCTTGTACCCTCTGTTTTGAATCCTACCCTTGCCCCTCTTATCTCTCCAAAATTAATAGGAACACTTAGACATCAGAATATAAGGGTCAGCCACACCTCAGAAGGAAGGTTAGGCAACCTACTGCCGTAGTGATACCTCCTCGGAAACCCAAGGAGAGGTCACTATCAGTCAGATCTGACTCCATGGCAGTGGGTTGGGTTTGGTATGACTTCAAAAGCTAAGGCTTAAACATTTTTAAAATTCTTGAGCCACGTAGTCTCAACAACCCAGAATTCAACATTGCATAGGAAGTCCTGGATCAGGCAATTAGACAAGGAAGAATTAATGAGTCACATGATTCATTGAAAGGACAAGAACCCTATTCTCTTTATTTGAAGATGATGATTGTCAACTCTGAATATCAAAAAGAATCAGCTGGAAAACTCTTTGAATTAATAAGAGACTTCAACAAGGTAACCAGTGAAATGACTCCAAAACAGAAAACAGTAGATACTCTCTATACCAGCATTAACCAGTTAGAATAGATAGTAGGAAAAAAATTCCATCTATATTAGCAAAATTTACATTGCCATCTATCACTTTCCAGTTTTAAACCCCTTTGCTCTTTCAATGAAATTTTCTACTCTATATGTCTCCAAGGAGCTCTGGTGGTATAGTTCCTAAGGCATTTCACTGCTAACCAGAAGGCTAGCTGTTCAAATCTCCCACTCCTCGGAAGGAAGATTGGGCAATCTATTTCTGTAGTGATATCGCCTCCGAAACCCAAGGAGGGGTTGCTATGAGTCGGCTCCGGCTCCATGGCAGTGAGTTTGGTTTTTTGGTTTGGTATGTATCTCTAGGAAGGGAAAAGGAGAGGAAGAGACAATTGGCCATTGACATTTCTTCCTTATCGATACCATAAACACATACTGGTTTTTAGCTTTAGATCTGCCTCTCCAGCTGCTTCTTAGTATCTGCTTGTTGATTACTACCCCAAATGTGACCTGTGGACCAGCAGCACCAATATCACCTAGGAGCTTATTAGAAATGGGTCCCTCTCGGGCATGTTGAATCAGAGTCTGCATTTTACAAGATCTCGCAGGTGATTGGTGTATACAGTAAAGTTGTAAAGCATTATCCTAGTGGGTGACCTGGATTCTTCCTTGAGCTCCTTAGTATGAATAAGTAGAATATGAGGGCAGCATATTCTGTTAGTCTCCATTTAAAAAAAAAAAAATGGTCGTGGAAATATACCACTCAGATCTAAAATTTTACCATAGTTATCTCTTGGCCCCATCTAATGGATCAAGGGAAACTTTCTTAGCCTATACTATGAAAACAGCAAACTAGGGTTTAGTATGACCTGTTAGAAGTACTCATCACAAGCTGCCAGAAGCTGAGATACTACTGCCAACTCAGTTGCCTGTATGTGGCTGACTAATTAAAATCTTTGGGTTTCAGTTAGTTTCACCTTCCTTTCCCTGTTCCTAATGAAAAGCTAAAAGATGATAGCAACTAACGGCCTGTAGAATTGGGAGATACTTGGAGGGGAATAGAGAGAGATCAAAATAAGAAAGAGAAGAAAAAGGTCATAGATGGTCATCTTCCCCCTGCATTAGGGCTAAAGATGTTTTCTTAGTGGTGATGTTTTTCAGCTGAAAGAATGTAAGCAAACCCTCAAGACCCTTTTTTTTTTTTTTTCTTTTATAATATCCTGATACTTCAATGCTCGGGGAAAGAAAGGAATAGTTAGCTTTGTAGGTAAGGTTACTCTTGCCAATTTTTCCTTCCTTTCATTTATGTCTTATGGATATTATTTGTGTCAACATCCATCTCTCCAAATGCTACTTTGAATGACACCAGTTGATGCCTTTTCTCAGTAAGAGTAAGGACATAATAATGGAATCATGTCCGTTATCTCTTCACTTATTTGGACATAGTTCTGTGACCTATTATGGAAGCTCTTTAGAATCTCATTTTACAAATCACTGGACACCATGGGGTAAAGGTCTTGGGTACATTATTTCCCCAAATCCTGACTGAAAACTGATGGCCCCTTACAGCTGCAAATCTGAGAAGTTGCCAGTATTTCCCCTGGGACATTTGCCTCACTGTGTTTGTGTCCATGAAGAATTCTTTCACAACTTTATTACTTTGAGATTACCTGGAAATGACCTTTTTCCTCATTGTTCTTTTTTTTCCCCATAAAAGTTATAGTTTTGCAACTAACACAAATTTTACCATTCATTTCTTTGCCTTTGGTTCATCCTGTTTACCCTTTGCTACCTTTTGAAATGTGAGTATTTTAGGGAAAGCAAAAGATTATGTTATATGGTAGAGCAGACACAAAGGCAAATGCAATTTCATATTGACTTAATACTTATAAGCTGTCAATGCAATTCTTAGAACAGGGGATTTTGATACATCCGTTTTAGGACTTAGTTTTCCTGGCTATTGCTTCTGGTAGGCCAGGTGCTCTAAAGAAGATCATGCCCTTTGACTAAATTTTAATGAGTTTAATTGGGGAACATAACAAACATTTAACATTCTTTTATCCTTGCAGCACTTAGGTACTTCTCTGATATGCAAATATGTTAAATGCATACCTTTATATGTTAGAACAATGCTTCTTAAACTTGAGGGCATCAGAATCACTTGGAAGGATTGTTAAAACAGATTCTTGGGTTCCACCCCAGAGAATCTAATTCAGTAGATACCCAGATTCAGCAGAACCCCAGAATCTGCATTTCTAAGCTTCCAGGAGTTGCTGCCAGTCCACAAACTGCACTTCAAGTACCAGCATGTTAGTATACACACACGTATGTATATAGAAACTGCATAAGAATGTCTGAATTCCCTATCCTTCTTTCTCTAACCCTATCTCTTCTCTCTACTTTAGCAAAATCCTTTTTTCTCTCTTTTTAATTCATATGGATTTACCCCATCATCTCCCTGAGCCCAGAATACTTACCAATGAACATATCTTTAAATCAAAAGATTCAATTTAATAAAAAAGAGAGAGAGAGAGAGAAATATAGCAGCCAACAGCAAAGATAGTTGCCCTGAGATCTAAAAAGGGCATTTGTCATCTCATGTCCTTCTTCTTCCTTGAGATTGTTTACAGAGACTGGAGAAGGAATGTGCCTAGGAAGAGTTTTCTTACTTGTTTGTTTTTAATACAATGCATTCTCCCCAGAAGGGCAGAGCTTGTCATTTCCTGGAGGAGGGGGCACTCTAGGACTGCATGAGGTTGTCAGCTTCTGAACAAGGAGCAGCATGCTTTCACTGCTTGGCATTCCATGGTCCACCTCATAATTTCTCTTTCTCCAAATATCCCATAACTTTTGTTCTTCCTTATGATCCTAAGGCCTGTTACTAATGTCTTAAGTCAGTTTCTGCTCTGTCATATGCATGGATGTGAGCTGTTGTGAGCTGTAATTTCTTGGATTACTACAGAAGCATGCTTCATTGGGATAAACTGAAAAAAGTAAAAATAAAAAACTTGATTCCTAATGAGTTAACCCTCCTAACTTGGTGGGGTGTGGTGGGGACCAGGAAAAGCTAGAACCACATATGTTTTAGAAAATTATACCAAGCATTCAGTTGGCCAAAGACATTCATTTTGTGTAGTCCACTTTTCAAATTATCATTCTGAAGCAATTGGGGGAAGGGAAATCCATATGAACTTTTAACAGTTGTTCCTTAAAGACTTTTTCACCAGGTTTTTCAAAGTCTGTGCATATATTTGGGTAAAGAGCTGTTGCCAAGGTCCTATTTACTGACCAGGTTTTGCTCACATCTGCTTATTTACCATTATTCCATTGAGTTTGCTTTACTTATTTATTTTGTTGGTGGATGTCTAGGGAGACAGCAAGCACATGGTACTTTATTCCACAGTGGATGAGAAAGAAATTTAATGTATCCACTGCCTTAAGGAGCATACATAGGCCTCCAAAAACACCCACTGCCTCTAAAGACCCACACAAATTCACACACACACAAGAGAGTAGCTTTGTCAGTAAATTGGACTTACCACCATACTTTGAAGTCAGTATGAGGGAACTTCAGCCTGGCTCTTGGTGCCTTCAGAGGTAGCAAGAGCACCTAGAAGCTGATTTAAAAAGGATGACATCACCAACCTCTTGAGTGCCTCACTTGTCCATGGACTTTCTGGCTAAAGAATTTCTTCAGGGCAAATTGAGTTAGATTTTAGAGTGAAAAAAAAAAAAATCTCTGAACTAATGATAGTTCAACATATTTTTTTATTTTTTAGAGGTTCTAAATATTCTTGCACTGATTAATTTTCATATTTTTACACTTTTTAAAAATATATACTCAAGAAAACAAAGATTAGAGAGTGTCCACAAATCTTTTATTGATACAAAATAGCATAATGAAAAGGAAATAATGCTTGCCTCTCTACTGGTTA